TGCCGTCTCCCTTACGGGGCCGTTATAGATGCAAACAGACCAGATATTGATTATGGACGCGTATTTAAGTCCTGAAAGGGATATATCGCGTGCCAACATGTGCTTATGTACGTTAAAATACCCCAGATTGCTTCTAATATAGTTGTGTACGGCTTCCAGAACACTTGCAGCCCTGTAAAATGTGTGATTGGGACACGTGCGCGGCTCGGAATGGACCGGCCGAGCCGATCCCATCTTATCTGATGGAGATAAGATTGGGCGTCTATCTTGGCCCAAAGGGGTGCATTGCTCGTCCCTTCTCCCTTGTCCTCCTGCCTGTGTCCTGGAACTCTGGTCTGCTTTCTTGCTGCTGCTTAACTCAAAAAAACTCTTGTCTTGATGCCTGGGGACCAAGACGACGCAGATCCGACGCCTTACAGCCTCCCAGCCGTGTTCGGAAACGCCGTCGTCACGGTGCTGGTCCCTTATCGCGGACGCTAACCCCGCTTTTTCCTCAGTCCCTCCTCTCTCTCTCTCCGACCGCCACCGACGACAGTCTCACTCTTCGTGCGCTCGTGAACAGCAAGGATGCCGGCGTCGTCATTGGGAAGACTGGCGCAACCGTCGCAAGACTCCTGGAACAGACCGGCGTCAAGGCTGGCGTCAGCAAGGTCATCCCCGGCGTCCATGAGCGGGTTCTATCCTCCCCTCTTCTCGCAGACTCCTCCTTGGACGTGTCACGACGGTCTCTCTGGGCCTGAAGAGCCCCCCTTTCGACGCTGAGGGTCGACTTCCGCCCCCTTCTTCGCATGCTGGACGCGTCGCGACCATCGCAACAGGCGTCGCGTCGTTCTCATGGTCGGCTCTCCCGCTCTCTTTCTCTCTCTCACATGTTTTGCTACAGCTCCGCTTCCTGGCTCTCCTCTCCTGTTGACGTTCCCCCTCTTTCTCTTATTGGCACGGCGCGCAGAGGCCGATAGGTATGCCCGTATGTAATACGGGCGCCTACCGGTCTCTGTCGTCGTTGTGCTCCTGACCTTCCTCCAGCCTTCTCCCTACGGTCCTCCCTCCTGCCTATCGGTGTCTTACTTCGCAGGAGGTGCCCCTACACTACCGGTATACAAATTTACAGCCCAGCCGGCCACCTTATTCGACGTCGGCGGCCCTCACAATCTTACCTCGCGCCCCCAAGCCCCTCAAAAACTTTCTCACCTTACTTGTTTGCTGTCGGATGGGGCGGATCTTGGTTGCTGTGGCTTGCTGGAGACTGGGAGGAGCTAGGAGGGTGCTTAGGATGGGTGACATAGTTGGTTCAGGTACGCTGCCCGCCGTTTGTCCCCTTCTTTCTCGCATTTCCTCGCGCACCCCGGCTTCCTTCCTCAAAACTTGCCTCCCCCGCGCACTGCTCACAACTTTATGGCTCACACAGGTGTTACATTGCTTTCTACATACATATGGGGGGTGCGCGCACATGCAGCGCTGCTGCAAACGAACCAGGGTGGTAGCGGACATCAGTCCCGCCGCCTTGGTCGTTTTTACTCAATTTTTGGGACCCCCCATAGCATTGAGCTTCGTGCTCGATGCTGCGGCAGCTTTGCATGCCGTGAGGTGAGTCGGGAGGTGCTCGCGCTAGCTGGGGTTCGGCCAGTTGGCCTTTACCTCCTTCCGCGTGCTCCGGCCGACTCAACACCTTTCGACCGCTCAACCATCGGCATTCGACTGTCCTTAACCTCGCAACGCCTACGCCTGCGGCCACAAACACTTACACGTCTTCGGACACTCCGTTGGTACCACGTCGATTCGTCGTCTTGGATACTCGGCCAACCTCCGGCTACTCAGCGTCGTCCATCGACGTTGCTCTCACCCATCGGCCTCCATCGCCCCGTCGTCCCATGGCCCCGTTTGCGGCATCACTTCCTCACTATCTGCTCGCACCGCGCAGGTGCTCGCATGGTCGAGCGCGCTGGCGTCGTCGTCCGTCATCTCCTCTGGGGCGCCTCCCGCCTCGTCACGGTTCTCATTCCCCTCAGCCTCTCCACGCACTCCTCTCGTCCCCTCAAAGTTGGTTGTGGGCACGCTCGCAGCTGTGTCGTAGGTGCTCGGAGCTCCGTAGGCGTGCTGGGACGAGTACGCGGATCCCGAGGGGACCGTACTTGTCCCTACCCGGTGAGTTTTTTCTTCATCCAACAGCGTTGCCAGCTCTTGTCGGAGGAGGTCCGTGAGCCGTGAGCGGTCGTGCTGGGTCTCTTGATGCCAGTGTGGGCCGCTACGCGAGCCTCGTCTCCAGTGGCTGCGACGGTTGCGCCGATCGCGACGTCGTTCACGCCAGAATCCTTTCTGCGTGGCGGGGATATTTTCTCGTCCCCCGTCCCTTTCTCTTATTGCCTCCATCTCGTACTCACCCCGCCCCGATTGCGGCCTCCTTGATCGGGGTTCACTTCGGGGATCTGTGCGGTAACCTCTCGCGAACGAGCTTATTGCTCGCGAGACCCTGCTGGGCAATGGTCCTCCCATCGTGGGCTGTCTCTTACTGATTCCTCTCTCCTTCCTCTGTAGCCAAGCATCTGCCATATATACTTATCTTTTTCACTCTTCTAGGACCTTCTTTCCATGGTGCTCGAGCCTCGACGGCTCGAGTACCTTCTTGCGCGATCTTGCGCAATGCCTCTCGCACCTGCTAGAACCTTCGGGTTCTTGCTCGTGTGGAGTTGCATGTCCGTACCAGGTTGGGGTTCGTTCGGGTGACTTCGCGAACGGGGCTTTCGTCCTGAACGTGGTCACTCGTGCTTTCCCTAACCAGGTATTTTCCCCAACTTTTCTCTCTGATTCGTGCCCTACTGACAAGCTATTGTTACAGGATTCTTGTTAACTTCTTCTTTAGGTTATTTCGGTCCGAGTTCATCGGCGGATTCTTTCCGTCCGCCCCATTTCGCTCTACTCGGTGTCGCTCCCGCCTCCTACAACTGCTCCTGGGCCATACATCGGCACTACCTCTCCATACCCCACCTTTCCGCTCAAGGCACGGCGGATCGACTTGATTACGAGTCGCATGAAGCGACGCTCGTCCTTGGTCCACAAGCGGGCCGGGACGAGCAAGATGTTCTCGAGCCCGATGCGCTCGGCCACCTGTAGCGCTAGCTTCGGGTGGTCGAATGTGTCCTTGACGCTCGCGCGGGCTCGTTTCTTGCGCGGGCGCAGGACTGTCGAGAGGATCAGTGGCGGTGTCTGTACGTACTGTACAGCGCACGCACTGGGGCTCTCGAAATAGCTCTTTCGGGGCTCTGGACGGGGGCGCAGGTTGTAGCGGGCCTGTGGGCCTTCGGCTTCTTCTTCGGCACTCGGAGCCTCCTTGGTGGCCTCGTCCGTGACGGGCTCGGGCTCAGGCTCAGGCTCCGGGCTCGAGGGATACTCGAGCTCCATGGGGGTGTCTTCCGCTGAGGCAGCCTCTTCTTGGTTCTCCGGACTGGGTTCTTCTTCGGATTCCGCATGCGCAGTCCACCCCTGGACCTCTTGTACCTTAAGCTGGGGTGTTTCGACTGTACCAAGGCTTCTTAGCAACCGGCTGATAGCTAACGATAGGACTTCTTTATTAGGATATGACTCACCCGGAGTAGGAACTGGACGCATGCGGGGCAGTAGAGGTGGCTCCGGGTCTGAAATTCCCACGCCTCCGATAAACAAGGGCATCGGAGTCGGACGACGGGGAGGCGGGTCCCTGGGTTCCAAAGGCTGTATGACTGGTGCCATAGGGGGAGAGTTGGCCGGTGGGGCAGGAGGTCCCATCAGAGGGGGCAACGGAGGGGCACCCTCTTCAAACATCATGTAA